TTCCGACTTATATACTACCTACTCTAAAGTGCTTTTCCTTACTGCGATGCAAATTGTTTGATTAAAAGTAAAAAATATGAACACTTGCATACCTCAGAAGCCATTTGTGTGTAATTCGAGGCCGAACATGTAAGAACCATGGTGAGAAATATTTGATTTGATTCGCGTGTGATTTCTGTGTTGACTGCGGCTTAGCGAGTTGACACTCGCAGACGAGGCAATTACATATATCGGGCAGGACCGAAAAAGGGCAACAAAACAAAGCCAACACCACTGGAAACCACCAGAAGCCACCCGCATTCACACCACCCACTCTCCAAGGTCAAAGGATAACGGGGCACAGCAGTGACTGGTGCAACCACGTGTCAAAGGAGCTGCTTCGCCCCGATCCTGCCGCCGTTTCGTTTCCATCATCGGCTTCCTCTAATCCAACGGCAGCTTGCAAGCTCCTGTCTGCGGTGGCTGCCACGCCCACCTGGCCAAACAAGTTTCTACATACAACATCCGATTTATTTTTTGATTGATATTTGCGTAACTGTCAGCACTGGTGATTGATTGAAGGGTTGCGCGGCCCACATCCCCAGCTCTTCGTCATCGGAGCGAACGCTTTTTGCCGAGCTTAGCAAAAGTCAACTTACAATTACTGGGTGGAGGGATCATTCCGATAAGGAGTAAGGAATAAGGATGAGGATGAGGATGAGGACGAGGACGGGGATAAGGCTGAGGCCGGGAGGACAAAGTGACTACTGTCAGCCGAGAAATTTGTATCTGAATAATGCGAAATAAATAAGTGGCATATGTGCTTGGCTGTCTGTGTATGGGAGTGTGACAAACGATTGCCAGTTTGTTTCTTTTCCCAAAATTGGTCGATGACTCTTGCTTTCCCTCGTAGAAAAATTGGATAAGTAAAGCCGGCGTTGCCTTGGCTGGGGTTCAAAGGTTAAGGTCGAGGTGCGAGGTGCATAAAGTGGAAGAGGCTGCCATTTGGTTTGATTTGATTACCGCTAATCAACTCAACGCATCACAGGCCACTGGCCGAAGATTGGACAAATAAAGTGGCAAAATAGGTTGAAATTAAGTTAAGTCCCACTTTTAAAAGGGGATTTTCCAGTTCCATCGGACCGAGTTGCAGGTAGAATGTTTGAGATATTTCTTTAGTAATAAATTATTTAAATTTATTTTATTTAAATTTATAAGTAATCATGTATTTATCATTTTGAAGTATTACATTAACATTATCATAGAAAATACATTCCAAATCGGAATATGTCCAAGTAAATGATATTTTTTAATTTTACGTTCTTCTGTACTTAGGTAGTTTTTTAAGCCCTGATGATGAAAGCTATGGGCGTATTAAAGCCGCTAAGCCAACGAACTGTAGTTTATTTTAGACACATTAGTCATGTTAAGACTCAGTTAAGTTATTGGTTTCTGCGCTGCCCCAATAGTGATTGCTCCAATTAGTTATTCCCTCTGCTCGGAAAACGTGTAAATAATTTCACTTCTACTGCAGCAGCCCCGAAATTTCACAATGAGCTGGCAGCACCCAATAATCATCCCACGAGTCCAGAACCACCTTCCGATTCATCATTATAAGCCGCCAAACATTATTTCTGTACTCCACTGTGCAAATCCCAACAATTAACACACTTTATGCGGCATTGTCCCAGCTTCCTTCTCCGGGGTCCTTTGGGTCCCTGGTTTTGTTTTTGGCCAAATTTCGGGCCTTTCGGGGGAGTGTGGCAACAATGCGGCAGCTGATGAAGTCAATGCCATTGCTGATGAACCTGACAAGCTGCGGGGCAGGAGGACGGCTCCCAGTGACGCATTGCCTCATTAACACTAAAGCCCCAGCATTTATTTAGGCCAAGTTGGGCGGATGGTGGATGGCGGGGGGGCAGGGAGCAGGCCCCCAGTTGGCACGCATGTCGCACGGTGGCACGGGGGCACGGTGGTGCGGGGTACGGGGACGCATAAAAATAAAAGTGTCTCTTAATTTGTTCGCCTATGCCAAGCCACCAGCCCCACGTTTCGCTGCTATTTAACTTTGCTGCCGCCGGTCCGTGTTTGATGGTCTCATCAAAGGCGAACGCGCGGCGAACTTATTAAGCAGCTTTCATTTTTAATTATGCCTTCCCCGCTCCGACTTCGACTTCGACTTCCACTTCGACTTGGACTTGGACTTATATTCCTTTTTCCGTTTTCCCGCTGCTGCGCATGCTGGCTGTCGCAAAAAATTAAAAAATCATTTTGGACACCAACACCTAGGGCCCCTCTGGGGTCCTGAGAAATGCCTCATCCAGAACATCTAGCCAAGTGCAATCAATCACGTAAAATTTAATTAAATTCTTAAGAAAATTCGACAAAGATGATAATTATACCCTGTACTTGTCGAGATAAGGGTATACTCAGTTTGCCCAAAAGTATGTGACGGGGAGAAAGAGCGTTTTCTATTCTACTCTATAAAGAATATGGACTTGACCAACTTAAATTGCCTAATCAACGGAGGCATAAGCGAGATATATGAAGCTTTAAGATAAAGAATTATGGGATTTGATGGTATTGGATGTTTATAGAAGTCTTCAACACTTCGACACTATACCTTTTAAAATCTTCTGAAGTAACATTTTGTTTCTACTATAGGTTTTCGGTTCAAGCTTTATTTTTTGAGCTTGAAAAACTTTTGTTATGGAAGCATGAACAAAACTATGTCTTTTAATTTTCGTCTTTCATTTTTAGAAAAAGGCTAAGTATTTATAAAATAATAACAAATTTGAACACACTATTTTTATTTCATTTAATTATACATTTTTGTTTCTATTTGACATGAAATCTATATTATTTGTTTGTTAAATTCCAGTATCAATCATAGTTTGGTTAAAAAGAATTTAACATTTTTTATAATGTTTTTAATTTTTTATATTGCCACCTGTGCACGTCATAAATCACGAGTTGAGACTACAGCATTTTTAAATTTTTGCTTCTCCGTTCAATTTTGCTGACTGATGGTCAACACTTCGGTGGGCCCAGCACTCGACCTGCGTCGTAACAAAACGTTCACAAAATAATAATTTTGATTTCGAAAAATTCCACGGGGATGTGACCGATTTGTTCTGTTATGGACTAATACCGATTTAACGAGCAATTTGATTATTTCCCGGTGCTGGCATTGCTGGCGGGGTATTCAGGAAGGTAATAAATTGTTCGCAAGCCGAAGGAAAACAGTCATATTATGCACATAAATCATAAAAATGTGTGTATGAGTGGCTTGCAGCAACTGCATGTATTAAGTGGGGAAGGGGGGTGAGGTGGTCATGGCCATCCGTCAAAGTTGCTTAAGTGTTTCTCCATGTTAATGCCATCCCAGCAGTTTCAGAAGTCACTCATGACAAATGTCACCAGAAAGGGCAATACCAATACCTCTGCCGCCCAATTTTATAAGCAATTTTGGTTCTTCAAATTCATACCCAATCACGGTTATTGAAATATAACATAACATGTTTTTTAGCAATAATATGAATTATTTAATAACTAAAGCACAATTTTTGTTTTTTCGGAAGTGTAAATTAACACAAGTCATATATAATGTGTTTTTGGTGACTCCTTTCCTTCAAAATTCTGATTACGCCACTGCATGCAGGCACACCCAAACACACTCAAGCACTCCGAACACACCCGAACACACATAGGCACACTCAGACACTCACTTGCCAGTTGGGGCAAAGGACCCCAAGGAATTCTCGAGGGCCATTTACATCTAGGAGTGCAGCAGCAGTGGCAACATCAGCAGCAGACCCGGAATCGCCAGAAAAGGAGCTGGGAAACTGTGTGTGCCAGTGGCCGACACATTTATCACACATTGTACATTGCCATTTAGGCAGTTTGACGTTTACGAGAACAAGTGTGACAACGCCTTGCCCGGCTTCTCCCTCCACTTTCTCCGCCTCGTGCACCTGAAGCCATTGGGTTTCACTCTGATCACCAGTGGAATCCATAAGATACTTTGGCTGTTAAAGTTACCTTCGAATTGGATGAAGCTTGACCTATCTGGATTGTATTGCTAATTCTTTGGGTAATGACATGATATGAAATGTTTTGTAAACGTTGTAATATCCTTCACAATTTGTCCAAACATAACATACCTTTTAAACAACTTTTCTGATCAGCCTGTTTGTGGCACATTTCCAAAGTCTACATTTCATTAAATGATATGATATGTTTGTTTCGGCAAGTCGAATAGTGAAATAATCGTTCGATACAATATAGAAAATTAAAGCTATGGGCCCACTTTGATCCGATATCGCATTTAGTTGTCCAACTTAAAAAATTTTTAAGCATGAACACATAAAGACAGGGCGCTTCCAAAAGTTTCATTCGAGTGTCACTAGCTTTTCATTGAGTGAGTAAATTGCATAGAAACCCACGTATATATGTCTATATCTGCTCTTTGGTGAGGCTAATCAAGAATAGATAAGTATTGTACCCTCTACTATGTGAACCACTTATAAGATATAAAATATATTTATAAATATATGAAAACAGAAGGATTCAAATACTGAAGTGCATTGTTATTTGGTGAAACAATCATTATCTCCACACAAAATGGTACAAAATTGCCAAGAGTAAGCAATCTCGGGTTTTAATGTCAGGGTGTTAAGAAATATAAATTTTGCAGTGTGCAAAATTATAGAACTTTCTAAGGGCACTAGCTTACCGCTGATTTGGGACTGCACAGGGTTCTCGAAGGGAACAGCCACCCAGGAGGCGCTGAAGGGGAGGACGAGGGCTCCAGGGGCAGGTAACATTAATCCAATTTAGAAACCACTGGGCCTGCGCTAATCCAAAAACGTTGCGACTGCCGCCGTTGGATGTGGATCAATGAATGAATCCGAAGGCTTTCATGAATCTGGTTTCTATTAAGCTCGTTGCACGGCGATTAAAAGGGGGATCGCTAATCCGTGGCACAGGACACACAGGTAGTCCCTTCGGTTGGCCTCCGTGGCACGTATAAATAGATCGGATGCCGGCGAACAAGCCACACTCGGTCGACGAGCTCATCTAGTCACACACCAATCAGTAACATGGACGCGACACCGGTCTTTCAGTCCAGTTTCTCCATTCGCTCGCTGCTGTCTGGGGACAAGAAAGTGGAGTCCCCGATTCCTGAGGACGAGGGCAGGGTATTGGGCTCAGCCGGCTCCAGTCCCAACAGCAGCTCGCCATCCGGGAAGAGCAACGCCAAGCCGGCCTTCACCTACAGCGCACTCATCGTAATGGCCATCTGGAGCAGCTCCGAGAAGCGGCTGACCCTGAGTGGGATCTGCAAGTGGATTGCGGACAACTTCCCCTACTACCGGAGCCGCAAGAGCGTCTGGCAGAACTCGATCCGGCACAACCTGAGCCTCAACCCGTTCTTCGTCCGAGTGCCCCGCGCCCTCGATGACCCCGGCCGGGGTCACTACTGGGCACTGGACCCCTACGCCGAGGACCTCTCCATCGGGGAGACGACGGGACGCCTGCGCCGCAGCAACTGGCCCCAAAACCAGGCCGGAAGGGCCAAGGGATCGGGACATCATCCTTACCAGCGGACGCCGCACTACGACCACGCCCACGCCCAACATATCAAGACCCACAACGCCTACTTATCCATGGTTGAGCATCACCACCACGCAGTGATGATGCAGCACTACCACGCCGCTCTGCTACGTGGCCACCAGATGATGCAGCATCCCCAGCAGCACCATGCCCCACTCTACTACCAACAGAAGCATCTCCATCTCCGGGGGCAACCTGAGCCACTGCGGCATCACACTCATCACTTCCACCAAGAGTAACATCAGCAGCAGACAAAGGAATGCACTCGCAATCGATTTCAACTTGGCTTTGCCTCGAAATTCCCCCGATGAACACCAACTGTGAAGATTCCTTCTTGGCGTAGAACGCGGCAAATATTGTTACTTGGAGGTGGGTCTTATTGATACAGACTAGAATGGAGCTTTAGGATAATCAAAATAATGTCATAGCTAATTTAATTCATACCTAATTTAATCCTCATTAATAAAACAATAACAGAAATCCAAATTTAAGTATAGTGTATTTACATTACCGTCAAGTTTCGCAGCTTAGCAATAGAACTGTAGTATTGTTGACATTTTAATAAGTTGGCTCAAATTAAAGGAATTACCATAATAAGTTCTGTTACAACTTACATTCAATTCACCACCGCAATTTTGGTTCAAAGGGCATTCTTGGATATATATTTTAAAAGATCTGCTATAGGCACACATTTTTTGTACCCTTGGAGAAGGTATTATAATGTAGGTCAAAAAATTGCAAAGCTACGAAGATACATTCTCGACTCTTTGAGGTATATATTTTTTTGGATTAGGTTGATATAAACATGAGTGTCTGTTCTTTGAAAACTAGTCTTTCAGTTATCTGTAGTCTTCGAATTTATATTTAAAGCTGCCATTGGAACTAATATATTAATTATGCCAATTGACATAGCATCGTTGATTGCAGAGCTGTTGGTTTTATAAATATCAGTTGAAAGCTCTGTTCAAAATAGTTGAGAACTTGATAAGAGAAATCAAAAAGTGCACTGCCAGGAGTGGAGATGTCCTGGGCTCAAGTGCCCCATCTCGAGGGTGTCAGCCAGCCGCTATCCTTGAAAGTTTTCATCTTGTTTCCGTCTCCGTCGGTCTGCTGCCACATCTAAATGCCGGCTGTAAATGACTTAAGTGCCTGGCATTTATCTCCTAAAACGTGTCCCTGCGTTTCGTCCTTGCCGTCGTCACAGTTATTTACTTGGCCATAGTTGTTGGAGTGGCAGGCGCTGCCGTGTTGTTGCCGTTGTCACACCTGTTAAGTGAGTGAGTGGAGCGGTGGGTGGTTGTGGACTGCCCCTCCAGTAGTTGCACCAACATCCCTCTCCTTGGCCATGCGAAAGATTTTACATCAAATTCATTTGCTTCCCTGTCTGTGTTATCCGGCTGTGTGTTGCGAGTCCCCAATTGTGTGCCAAATGACTTTGAAACTTCTCACCTCGCAAACAATAAGTCCAAATGCAATGACAACAAGATTCTCTCAGAATATTACACCATTCTCGCACATTTTCCGAATCCATTCTGTTTGTTCAGCCTGGCAGAAGTGAATGATCCGCTTACCGACTCGCTTCCTCGTATAAGGACAACTTATGGAGCAGTTGCTCCCCTGCGTCCCCCTCTAGAAATACTGATGTTCACTCGGCCAGGCAATGATATTTCACAGATCTATTGTGTCACTTTTCTGGGTGGTCAAATCAAAAGTTTCTTTCGGTTGTTTGTGGTCGGAATTTATTTTGGGTGTTGGCAAATTCTGGCGCTGAACCAATCGAATACGTTTTGGACACCTCTTAGCCATCTTTCCTGAACATACAAAAGAAAAAATAAATTGCGTGGTGATATCGAAAGTTCAAATTATAATAGCAAAATTGGTAAGTTCTGTTTTGTTGTTGTGAGAAATATATAATTGTTTGCATGATTGGTAATAATTTGTAAAATTTCTTATTATATCCTTCCAAAGCGTTTTAGGGTATTACTGGACAAACTTTTATTATTTTTCCAGGAACGACACATTTGTTATGCTCTCTTTTGGACATGGAGAGTGGCTTCCAAAGAATCCACTCTGAATTTTGAGAGCTTATGCAGGAGGGCCAACGTGCCCCAACTAAGTCACTAATGCCACCACCGTAACAGTTTGCAACATGCATTGTCACAGAGCCAGGGTGTTTCATGTACTGCGTTTGCTCGGGGAATTTCATGAATACGTTAAATATGCAACACAGACAAATTATGAAATAAAAATAGTTCAGATAAACAAGTTTGCTCCGCTATAAGAAAAATATTCCAGTCAAGTTGAAATAGTCAATGAGGTTTTTGTGGAATGCAGTTGAATTATTTTTGTTCCTTAGTCGACTTTTATGTACAACGCGAAATGAAATTTATTTTTCAGGAACTCCCTATAAATTCCGAATGTTCCCAAATTATGGATCGCGGGACAGGATACGTTTGAGTAATGTGCCAACTTATGGATGAGTGGCCACCCGTCTCTATCTCGATTGAGTGTTTAATGTTTTGTCGCTTAACTTACAGCAACTTCCTGATGATGCCACTTTTCATTGCCCTGCACCCGGCACCTGGCACATGACAAGATTTATTTCTTCTTCGGCGTCTTTCATTTGCCGGCCTCCCATTTTCCAAATAATTACACATTTACATTTTCATAGATAATTTGGGCGCAAATCATGGAATCAACTTCATTTCACTTACATGCGAATAAAGTCAACAGAGTCAGAGAGGGGAGGGGGGTTTGCGGGGTGGATGTGGGCCGCAGGACCCACTGTATCGGGTCAAATGCCGGAAACGGAAGTGGGATAGGAGCGGTGCGATGAGATGAGATGGTCTGCGTGGACCTGAACGGAACGGAACCGAATGGACTGCGAGTGGGAGGTCCATTGTGGCGGCTTTATCTGGCCCACTGTTTGCGCGCTGATGTTGATGGCTATCTTTAAAAAGACATAAATCATTTCGGGGCTGGGGAATGCCGGGCTGCCGGGATGCTGGGATGCCGACGGGTTTCAGTGGCCTAGTCTCAGTAATTAATCATGGCCCAAGGCGCTGACTTAATTCCTCGACCGACGGCCGCATAGTTTTGGGCCGCTCGTTGTCATTAACATGGCTATCGCCTCGCCCTTTGTGAGTGCAAATTGTCGAATCAATTTGTAACGATTATGAAATCCTTTCGCAACGATTGCGTTATTTGCACAAATTAAGGGGCTGTCCCTCCTTGGCTATCGTCTTTAATTTGATTGAATTAAAGTACGGAGGCAGCGGGTCTTGCAGATATTTCAGCCCTCCGAAAATGTCCAATGCGGGCTGAAATGCTTGGTATTTGGCCCAAACTTCAGGCTAAATTAAATTCCACTTTTGGTCAATTGCACTCAAAGAACCGCAAATAGTTATTGCAATTGCAAAAGGCCTGTGGTCAATACGGAGTTTCTGGTTGGATGAGCGGTGTGGGGGGTGGGAGGTTGTGGGTGTATGGTTTTGGGGTGCTCTAGATGGCCGAGGGGCGAACGCAATTGACTGAGATACGTGTAAGCGGAAGTACTACCCACACACAAGCGCGCAAACATCGGGGCAAACACACACTTACACTCACACACAGGCAAATATGTCATTCATTATTTAATATCTAATTATCAAATGTTGCTCTGGTTGCCAGCGTTGTTATTTGTTGCTGTTGCTGTTGCTGCTGCTGCGATAACAATTAAAACAAGGAAGGCGTCGAAATGAACATGAACAGCTGCCACCACAACTTGGCCACTAGCACCGAACACCACCCCCTCCCACCGCCTTGCGACCCCTGACCCCTGACCCCAAGCCCCTCCCCTCGAAAACTCGCATGACAAGCAATTGAAATTGCAAGTGGCCACGCCCATTGGCCCAAGCATCAGTTGTGCGCCTTAATTGTCGCCCTTGTTGTTGTCGCAAATTTATGAGCCGCACTCTGGAGTGGTTTTGGCCCGGCCTCGGTGGGTTAGAAGAGCATTTCTGGTTATTGTTATGGCGGAAGCACGGGCCGAGTGGTTCGCCAATTAGACGGGGCGTTGTGGCGCAGGGAGTGCGGATTCGCCGAAACGAACTTGACGATTGGAGGCAGCCCCGAAGCGGAGCTACGCGTACATTGTACTTTGGAGCGGTGTTTATCGCACCGTCACTGCACTTCGGTTGATTTAATAAATAATGATTGTTATTAAAGCTTAATGGGATAGCTCCATCAAGTCATGGCCACATAGAAGTTCTATTAACCAAAGCCACTGGTTTAATAAAGCTTTGACTAGTTAAACTTTTATGCAGGAGGATTCTATGGCTAAGTTACTGAGATGCTTAGATCGAAAGATGGAAACTAGGCCTTGAAAAAAAAACTCAACAACTTTTCTTTAAAACTTTAAATTTAAATCGAATTTCAAGAAGATTCAAAGCCATTTCTTTTTTAAATGTTTCTGTTTTGTCACCGACTCACAGCTTTCCAAGACGTGCTCCGGGCAAAAGATGGGCTCGTCCTGCCCCATCGATTGATGGCGACTGATGGATACGCTTGACTTCGCTGTCGCTCGAACACCCCGAAACCACTGCGCCACTGTGGAGGTGGGTGAGTCAATGGCAAGGAGAGAAATACGTGATAAAAATTATGCCACATGCAACTTGTGAGCAATAAATCTTCAATTTATTACAAAATAATTAAAATTAATGAGCGAAATTGAAAATGTGCACGTGCGTTTGTTGCTGTGTTTATGCGGAGCTCGTTTCATGTATCGCAATAAGTTTAGCCCCATTTCGGGAAAAGTGGAGTCGCGAATTGAGCTCGTATAAAGGCTAGGGCTCTGAAATTAGTTTCCCTTGGCATCCTTGTGGATTGTCGAAAACTCCTGACAGCTAGAAATGACATCCTTGCTATTTCTGGCTCTATCGCATGAATAAGGTTCGAGAATTCTTGAAGTTATTGACATAAACACAGTTTGTACTTCTTGGTGGCGAGCATTGGGGTGTGCGTGCGTGTGGTTGTGTGGGTGTGCGTCGAATACAAAAATGAAACCATAAACTTTGCCAATTGGCAACCATTACAGATTGCAAGGACCAAGGACCAGGCCAGACTATGCAAAGGTCCTGGCTCTTGGTGGCAATAGCGGGAACTGTACACGTCCTTCGTGGCGCTTTTGTTTCGTTGGCCTAATGAAGTTGGTGGTTACATGGAGTAGAAAATAGCTTTTCAGATTCTGACTGAGATTGTCTATCCGTATTTGAGATTGTCCTCTTGAGGTCCTTTACAACCGCTTGCCTAGGATATTTCTTCTAACACCATGTTGGCCGTACAATACAGGCTTGCGAACTCAATTCTCAAGGACAAGCATTTCAAATGACATATGATTTTATTATCAT